TGCTGCGCTTGCACACGAGGGCCATTTTCCAGGCCCTGCGTCCCTCAGGCTGAAAGCCTGAAAACCAGGGCCTACAGGCCCTGTGTCTGTTCAGCTCGAAAGCCTGAAAAACAGGGGCCTACAGACCCTGTGTCGTTTCAGACTAAAAATGGCAATAGCCTTTTTGGCCTGAAACGAAGGGCCATTTTCGGTCTGTCATCAGACCGACCTGCCCTGAAACTCAGGCACCGAACCAGGGTTTTGGGAACAGGCTATTTTTGGCCTGTTCCCATGACAGCTGCAGCGCCAGCCCCTGGCTCAGTTCGGCATTGGCAAGAGCAGCCTCCTGGACTGCCCGCCCTGCAACTGCAGGCAGTCGGAGCCAGTCAGGAGGCAGGCCGAGGTAGTACATAGGGACTTCCCATGCACTTCACGGGTAGGCAGGAGGCAGTCAGTAGTCTTCAGGATTCGGCAGCAGCACTCTGGAGGAGCGCTGCAGGAGTAGTAGTAGCGTAGCTGTAGTCTTCAGCGCTGGGCGCCATAGCTAGGATAGCACTAGAGAGAGAGAGATTGAGCGGAGGCCAGGGGTACTTACCTGCAGCGCCGTTGCTCCAGCTTTGTCTTCGAGGTACCTGCAGCACAGCGCCAACTTCACAGGTTAGTACCTGGCTCGTGAGAGAGAGAGAGTTCTTCTTCTTCTTCTTCTCAGTCCACCATCTCCCTCTCACCCTCTCATTACCCGACTTCACTGCATCAGCAGACTACGAGAGAAAGAGAGGGAGAGAGAGCTTGGTGACATTGGATCCAGACTCGACTTTTGGGCTTCAGACATTTCGACGAGGGATTATTTGGGACTTGTGACAAAGACTCGGTGTTGACGACATTCCCATCTCTCCCCCTCTTCGTCGTCTGATCCCCTCCTCTTCGTCTGTGTATGTCTGGACCTGGCGCTTCCTTCCTGTGTACAGCGCCAGGCTCCTTCACACCTTGTGATGAGCATGATGTATGTTAGGTCTGCGTTGAAACATTGATTGGGCTAGTCATTAGTATTCTAGCATTCTGCTTCGCTATCTTGTACTACGTGAAAGAGGCCAGTCTCGATCAGGTCAGGTCTTGTATCTAAGTCTTCCCTGCGCTATCAAGCACCATTTTGTATGTATCGGAATGCACATTGCTTGTTGAGATTCTACTTGCACTGCATTGTCCATTCAGTCCTTTTTATCACATTGCGGATCCTTGGTTTATATATACATCGCCCAACTGGGCATGTAACACACACACACACGTCCAATTTGTAGACAGGGGACGGGATGACAATGCCTCTACAATAATTGTGGTCCATGTGCCTTTTGAGTTCCTAGCATGAACGAGCCACGTGGCATGTGGCATCTGTCTACACCGTGCCATTCGATGCAGCAACCACGACTGCGAGAATTGGATGCGGTGTTTCCAGCCTTCCACAGTCCACACCCGAACTGGTCCTGTCCGGTTTGCGGTTTGTAGGGGTGGCCACTTACCGTAGGCAACAGCTGCTCTTCAACTCCAAATCCTCAGCAACCCAAACACTGACTGCCCCTCGTGCCATTGTAGATTAGACTGCTCTAGCGGTGAGCATTTAGAATGTGAAGTTTGTTGTATCCCTGCTCTGTCCTTTGACACTCCAATGTCTCCCCTACCTCTTCTCTCTCCCCTGCCCGTCACTCTCTATAATGGAACTCCGGCTCCTATCCCTTCCCTTCCTCCCTCCCCTGGCGTACTACTGGTATATGTATACGAATGACCATCATTAAGAGAACAGACAAAACATAAGCTGAAGATCTGAAGAAGAACGAACAGAACTATACCTCCCCCTTTACTCTACCTCCTTTCATAACGTGCAAGTGTGCCATTAAGGCACACGGAGGTGTGGGCCACTGTGGGCAGCTGGCGCTCAACCACAATCAACATGGCCAGCCTTGCTCGTGAGAGGCATAGTAAAAGGGGAGCTGCAAGAGCAAACGAAAGGGGTACGGTACCCCAAAGAAACCCAAAGGCCCAAAGTGAAGATAGTTGGCAAAGGGATTTCAACGGATTTATTGTGCTCTACCGTGTCACTTGCTATAGAGCCATAAAACTGTTTCATTGTTGTAATGTCTCAAGACTCTCAACTCAGGTGTGCTTCGTTGTCAACTTGTCTGCAATAGGACTAAAGCTGCTCCGATTTTGTTGTGGTGAAAATGCAACACACACACAGACACACACACACACACACACACACACACACACACACACACACACACACACACACACACACACACACACACACACACACACAC